GGCCCCAGGCTCAGTGCTCAGCTTCTAAACGGCAGAACAGGAAAGATCCCAAATGGGCCAATTCTTCATTCTTCCCACCTTCTACCTCTAGAATGTCTTGTCTTCCAAGTTTATCTAACTAATTTCTTTGAACCTCTTAATATTTGAACAACCAGTTCCCCTGTGACAGACTTAAGACTCTTGAGGTTTTTTGTCTCCCTCTCTCATTCAACACACTACCACCACTCCACCACCATCCCCACCCTCCAGGACTACCGCCACCTCTGCCATCGCCACACTGCCATCACTGCCTCCGGTCAGCAAGGGGCTTAAGGCACATTTCCTTTACCCAGAACACTCCAAACCGGGAATATGTTGTAGGGGGTTGCCACCTTACCGACACTAATGTATACTCATGTTCAGACACTTTGGAATTCCAGCTAAGTAAATAACACACCAACGTGGTGCCCAGATCCTGTAAGTAGTAAGGTGTACCTGGAACGATCAGAAATTCTTTAAAATGTTACCCCATGAAATACCTCTAACTTTTAATATTTTTTAGAGGTAAGTGATGGGTATTAGTCTAAATTTCACTTCCAATAATGTAATACTTTTGGTAAGGCATCCAATAACATCCAAATTTAAGAATTACTGCTATGTAATTTATATAATTCCTATAATATAGTAACAAATATTTTACTATTATATGATTTATTATTCTTTTCATTATTTTGCTCAACTTTCATCCTAAAATTGTTTTCTATAAACTCTAAAAGTTCTTCCATTGTAACTTGTTTTTTATAATGCTTTGAATCTCTAGAAAAAGGCATTTTTATGAGACTGTTTTGCAATAATATATTGATTAGTTACTCTATCATTCTTATTTGCCAATAGTTAAGCCTATTACTTATTATAATTTACTTATTTATATCTTCAATAACTCAGGTCACCATCAGAACATATAATTAATCAAGATATGAAGCAGAGCAAAAACAGGAATTTTGCACCCTAAGAAGTGGAGCTGGATCAGTGATTGGGTAGATTGTTTTATCCTCCAGCTGGGGACTGTAGTAGAAAGAGCTGAGGTTTGCACTGAAAAGACTTGAATGCAAGTCTTGGCTCAGGCACAGACCACCTGCAGTCAAACCCATCACCTTCCCTGGCCCTTAGCGTTCACGCTGTAAAGAGAGGAGCGTGATGACACTGGTTCTCTGCTCTACAACGCAGGGCGTGTGAAGCTCAAATGATAAAATGCTGTGTTAACGGTACATTCATGTGCTGGTTATCACCTCACAGCATACAAAGTCTGTTCAATGATCATGATCCCTAATGCTGTAGCGACATTGCTCTCCTTTGACAGATATTATCTGGACTTCCTTGCACAGGTGGCAATGTGCTGGAGCCGTCCTCTCTCTCTTTATTGGAATTATACCTTGAGAATGAGTGCCTCCTTCAGTACTGCACCCTACGCGCCTCCCTTGCCTCACCCTAGCTCCGGCCCTGGTACCTTGGAAAGATGCTTCCAAAGCTTGCAGATGCAGGAATAAGCCGTTGTAATTTTTTCCTGGCCTATTGTGCTCCGGTTACTGAAGTTCCATCGCGGAGGGGCGGCCCTCTACCTTCCTCCGCACTGGCTGACAGCGGTCCTCGAAGTCATTGGATTTTAACTTCGGGCGCCATCTTGTGGCCTCCCACGGAGACGAAGTCTCCCCCGTCTGCAAACTTTCCATCTGCACTTACACTTCAGGAACAAAAGCACAAGAGCAGCTAGGAAGCTCTGTTAGATTCTCTTTTGAATCTTGGATCTGGGGGTTGATGAATCTCACTGAATTGGGGGACTTTTGAAACACTGGTCTTTGAAATATTTTTTCTACACCATTCTTTTTCTCCTCTTCTTTTGGGCCACCAAATACACATATATTAGACCACTTGATATTGTCCCACAGGTCACCGAGACTGTGTTCATCTTTTTCAATCACTTTCTCCCTATACTTCATTTGAATAATTCCTACTGTTGTCTTCAAGCTGACGCTCCTGTATTTTTGGCAGTTCCAGTCTGCGATTAAGTGTGACTCATGGATATTTCTGATTTCTGATAACCCTTAACCCTAGGCTTACTTGTAAGACATGGTCCTTTTGGGTTTCAACAGAAAGCTTCAACAACTACCTAGAGTAGTTAAATTCATAGAGACAGAAAGTAGAATGGCGGTTGCCAGGGGCTTGGGGGAGGGGACAATGGGGAGCTAGTGTTTAATGGGTACAGAGTTTCAGTTTGAATAGAAGGAAAGTTTTGGAGATGGATAGTGGTGACGGTTGCACAAAAATGTGACTGCAGTTCATGCCACTGAACTGTACACTTAAAAATGGTGAAAATGGAGCCAGCCCTGATGGCCTAGTGGTCAAAGTTCGGTGCTCACTGCTTCAGTGGCCCTGGTTCGCTTCCCGGTTACGGAACCACACCACCCATCTGTCAGTTGCCATACCGTGGTGGTGGCTCACACAGAAGAAGTAGAACGACTTACAACTAGGATATACAACCATGCACTGGGACTTTGGGGAGGAAAACAAAAAAAGAGGTGTTTTGGCAACAGAAGTTAGCTTAGGGCAAGTCTTTTCCTGCAAAAAAAAAAAAAATGGTGGAAATGGTAAATTTTGGGTTATGTATATTTCAACACACACACACAAAAGTAGAGAGTGGAGGTAACTGATGAAGCGACGCAGAACAGGCCAGTGACTGGAATGCACATGGTAGGGTGTGGGGAGGGGAATAGCAGCCAAACTGGGAGCAAACCATCCCTTGGATCCCCAAGTGGCTTGCGTCTTGTAACTGACTAGTACTGCGAAGGGGAGGAGTAAGACACGGGGCTGAAGCTTACTGCCTTCACCACCACATAGCAGCCATGTGGTGGCCTGACTTGCAACCCCCAGAAAAATTGCAGGAGTTCTTCAAAGGAACTGAATGCCTCAAAACGTCCACAGTCTGTCCTGTAGAGGCCAGTTAAACGTCTAGAGAGCAGCTTCCCACCCGATCACCCTAAATGAAGCCCTTCAGGCAGCGAGTCCGCTACGAAGACAGAGGCCCCATCACAGAGGGTTCACATTCTCCTACTTTCATACTCCAGTGGTCACCAGACTTTGGCGAAAGGCTCCAACACAGACAGCGCACTCTAAGAGAAGCAAACAGAAACATAACCGAGAGGCAAGAAGCGTCTTCACATTACGGAGCTGTCAGCACAGCAAACACCCGTCAGAAGGGCACTCCTGAGACATAACAGGCCCACCTTACACTGTATACAGCCTGGACCTCAATGCCGCATGGAGGAAATAACTCAGGAACGGGAAAGAACTTTAAAATATCTCTACGTACTTGCCCTGTGAGATGAACCTTTATTTAGCATAGCTGGAAATTGATAAGGTCTAAAATAGATGAATCAAGAACTGCTGACGTAAGCATTCTATGGAGAACAAAGATAACGACTAGGAGAAACAGCTGAAAGAGTTAACAGTGGTTGCTTCCTTAAAACCGCAGCTGGGGAAGCGGCTGGGGAGATGGCCGTGCTTCCTGAGCCCTCCTGTGTGATTTGATGGTTAACCATGTGCATGCATTAGTGCTACTAAGACTTCTTTATTTTTTTTAATTTTCAAAGAAAATGACTGGAAGGTTTTTTTCTCCTGTAGCATTTTTTCATTCCGGAATTTTCCAATTAAGCTTTTGGCTAAACACATACATATGATAATGATAATTATTCAGGAATCCGGAGGCTTCTAAAAACATTGTGTGCCATTAGAGTAATCAAGCTCAGCTCTAACACATCTTGGCTTTTCAGGATAATTACACGACACTGGAGGCCCAGATGGGGTGAATGAGAAAGCCATGGGTGTCTGCCATATAGTAACAAGAAAACATCACACAGAACTACTCAACTGGCAATTGAAATTTGGGTGTTAACTTAGCACACAACAAGAAATATATCAAAATGCTTGGATTTGGCGCAAAAGGTTTCACTTTAAAAACGAAAAATAAAACACAGGGGTAGCTGTGAAGTCCTCCAAAACTCATTTTAGGCCTTCATGTACTAAAATAGAAACCCTAACGCAGAGTAGTTCCCGCTATAACTTCACTTATTTTAAATGATCACCTCAGATTGAGAGCACGTTTGTTTAAAATTCACGAAATATTTAAAAAAACACTTCCCCATCAGTTTACCTGACACAGAAGTGCTGCATGTCTACTCTGTGCGAGGACCTGACGGTGCCGAGAAGGCAATACTGGAAAGGCACGCAGTCCCTGATCTCAGCAGACCTGAGACTAGCACAGAATAGGACCTGAGAGGAAAAGGCGGTTCGGGGTGGGGCGACTGGCAGGGACAGACGGTGCCTTTCAACACACTCCTCCAAGGCCCTGGGAGAGGCAGGGACCCCTGGGCTGTGGCACCGGGGCATGGGCCTCCTCTGCCCACGTCTTCGGGAAGGCACCGGTCCCGGGGTCGGTAGATTTGCAGTTGACCTGACCGTCCTTGGAGCGGGACTCGGAGGAGCTTCATCGCCACCCCCCCCCCCCCCCCCCACACACACACCGCATTTCCTGAGATCCCTTCCGCCCCCCAACCTGACCCAGTTCCCACCCACCGCGGTCCAGACACACATCCACAGACGCGTCCACCGACGCGGTCCAGACACGCGTCTCACCACCCGGGAAGGCTGCCACCGGGCTGGCTGTGATGGTGGCAGTTGGGGTGGAGGCTGGGGCGGCGGCGGAGGCAGCCACCCAGAGATCTGGGATCTCCAGGACCATTGGAGGGGAAGGTGGGGACGCCCTGCACCCCTGGTCCCCTCGCCCTTCCTTCCTTCCTCCTCTCCCCAGGCCCCGACCCCCACGGACCACCTCTCCCGGAGCCCAGCTTCCCAGCCTTGAAGCCGGCCAATCAACTGCGCACGCGCAGGCCGTCGGCCCCTTCTGCTCACAATGCCCACCGCGTTGCTAAGTGACGTGAGCACGAGGCTCTGAGGGAGCGGGCGCGCCCTCTGGTGGTGCCTAGGCACAGGCACAGGCTGTGGCCAGTGCTTCCTCAAGGCGGCTCTGGCCCCTGTTTTCTCGTGGGTCCTTCAGACCGTTGGACGGATGGAAGGAGCAAGGCAGGAAGGGAACAAAGACAGAAGGAAGATAGGAAGGTAAGAAGGATGGAATGTAGGAAGTTAGCTAAAAAAGAAGAAGGGAAAGATGGATAGAGAGATGAATGGGTGTTGGGGCTCGCAAGAGTAGGGGAAAGCCGGGCAGGGGCCTGGCTGACGAAGCAGCATCCCGAGCCAGGCGGTGGGATCCCTTCCTCAACTCGGCTTGGAGGCTGTGCCTGGGACTGACTGCCACACCCTCCAAGGGGTCTGCCTTGTGAACCCAAGAGGGGACTGCCTGTGTGCCTCTGGGTGGCTTTGCTGGCTCAGGGGCTTTGGTGCCTGGAGCCACAGGCCGAGCCCAGGGAGCTGCCCGTCCCCGTGGAGGGATGAAACTTGCCCGCTGGGCCTGGGCGCCCTGCCATCCCCATTCCTCCCAGTGACTTTGTGCCTGAATTGCTGTGTTTGTGTCGTTGAGTGTAATTTTTTTTTCTTTTTTCTTTTTTTTGGTCCAGGTGATATATTTTAGTACGGTTTTCCAGCGTGTTACTTAAATCTAGAACGAAGTTTAGGAAAACACAGGAATGGACATGTGACACTTTACTGGTAAAATCTGTCGCGTTTGGATTCCTATTCATCTCCTATATTTTCATTGTTCTTTAGGGAATCAAATAGAGACCTCTATGTTTCACTGCGAACTCCCGAGTTGAATATCCTTTGTCATAGTTAGAAAGCGCAATATTTAAATGTTTTGTGTACACCTTGTACCAGTTACCAGTTTGTTTCCTCACTGCCCTAACTCCATCTTTCCTTGTTCTGCTTTGCGATATGGAAGGTAACCCTGTAGGTGTTTCTTTGTTGACAGCTGGGTCAACGGGCGCTTTTCAGTAGATGGGATTGGAGAGCGAGTGCGTGGAGAAGGGGTCTTCCTCCAGTTTCTGAAATGCTTTTCCATTCTTACTCTGATGGTGGTCTGCAGCCAGTGGCCTGCTGGCTACACAGGGTCATATGGTCTCCTGTGAGTTTGACAGCACTTACAGACAGCTGGGTCTGTCAACGGACTAACCTTCCAGAGATTTCACTAGCACACTCCCAACGCTCCTTCCCCCTTTCAAGAGGCTTCCTTGCACGTTCTGTAGATCTTTTGTCTTCTTGAACATAGGAAGTTTTATTTGTAACAGCTTATTTAACAACCTTTTCTATGAATTCTATCAACTGTATAATTTCTTGGAATTCTAGCCACTTTGGCTTTCCTAAGTTCTCAACTCTTCAATTCAGGGCAGCTAGCTTACCCTTTTCTCTCCTGTGCTGTGGCCCGAAAAGTGTCTGCAGGCAGGACACCAGGGCAATCCCAGGACTCACTTCTTTTCTCCTCCTCTCATGAATCCTCCTTCTGATTGGCCTGTTTTCAACTGTTGTTTTATTTGTTTTTTCCAGTTTTTTCTTTGTTGAAGGCAGCAAAGGTAAATCTGGTCCTTGTTACTCCATCGTGGTTGGAGTGGCAGTCCACTTCTTCTTTTTTAATACTACCAATTAGATAGTATTATGATAATTAATATTTTTAAGAAGTGCTCGTTTGCCCTCACAGACATGTTTCCCATTGTTGGTCACCATTCTTTGTTGCTCATTGGGTTGTCCTTCTAGGATAATTTTCATTCTTCCTGAAGAGCATCCGTTTGAGGTTCGTTTAGTGAAGTCTTGGTGGTGAACTCTTGTTTTTATTGGTAAATATTTTATCATCATTCTGAAAGATACATTTCCTAGATGCCAAGTTCTGGGTTTTCACCTCAACCCTGTAAAGACATTACCTTGCTGCCTTCTGGCTTCCATTTGTTGCCGTTGAGCCGTCTGCTTCCCAAAGTCTAGGCTATTTTGGAGCCGAAAGGGACTCTGGGTATTGATGGGCCAGGTTCCTCATGTTAACGCCCATGCTGAAGATTAGAACCTCTAGGCTCAGAACTGCCCCCAGGTCACACAATCTGACAGTTGGGGACTGGGACCCGCGCCCCAGTGCTCTGAGTTTCAGGCCTCCGCTAGCCCAGTTTCTTAACCAAATTTGCGTGTCTTTGGCCCGGAGAGGTAGGGAGGAGTCCTGGAGCTTCTGTCTCCTCATCTGTGAAACAGGGTCAAGCACAGACCCTCCCTGTATAGCTGGAGGTTACATAGATATGGCCCAAGCCACGGGATGCCACCCACTGGTAGGGATGTGAGCATGGGAGGTGGAGGGAGGGCTAGACCATTGAGAGTCCCCAGAGGCAGGGGTGAGAGGCGAAGGGCGCAGAGGCGGAGCTTCAGACGCCAGAGGAGGGAATTCAAGAATTTGGGGCGGGGCTTGAAGTTTGAAGCGTTTAGATGTGCAGCTGGCAGTTGCCTGGGCCCGGAGAAGCCGCGAACGGGATTGTGTGAGAAGCTGGCCCCACCTTGGCAGCCCTGGTTGGATGCAGCGAGTCACAGAGGCGGGGCCGGGGCTCGGGGGCGGGGCCTGGGAGGGGCGGGGCCCGAGAGGGGCGGGGCGGGGCCTGAGAGGGGCGGGGCTAGCGGCTGCCGGCGCCCCTCCCGCACTGGTGCTGAGTGCGGGGCAGGAGGTAGTGGCGGTTGGCGGTGTCCTGGGGCGGAGGGGGCTTGGAGGAGGTGGCCTCGACTCAAGTGCTGCAGCCCTGGTAGGTTTCTTAGTCGCTCTAAAATATTGCATCCCACTGTTCTCATCTGGCAGAACTTTCTCCTGACACCTGAGCCTGCTGGAATAGACAGAGACATGACTGAACATAAGCGGTTGCTTTGTACCGTCCGTTCAACTCTGAAGGCTAGTAGACACCTGTTCAATATTAATTCACTTTCTGCATCCCCTGCAAAACTAAAGAAATGAGAAAAATCTGTTTTGGACTTGATTTTGCATGTTTAAGAAGACATTTAAAGAAACCGGCGTTCACCAGCATCTCTTGTGTGCCACACGCTGCTCTGGGCTCCCAGGGACGCTGGTGAACGAGACGCATCTCTGTAAGAAAAAAAAAAAAAAGAAACTGGGATTTGTTTGTTTGGCTGGTCGTAGTTATATCATTTGGACATGAAGCCTAATAGTGACGTTGGATCTGAGAAATTGCATAAATAAGTAGAAAAAACGTGAAATAAAATGGAGAGTTGTGTTGTCTGTTAGGCCTCAAAGTGCAGTATTTTGTGGCAGGTTATGGTCATTTATACTGAGGATTGAGCAGTTTGGTATAAAAAGATTTTTTTTAGAAAGATTTTATTTTTCCTTTTCCGCCCCAAAGCCCCCGGGGTACATAGTTGTGTATTTTTAGATTTTTTAATTTTTTTCCTTTTTTTCCCCAAAGCCCCCCAGTACATAGTTGTATATTCTTAGTTGTGGGTCCTTCTAGTTGTGGCATGTGGGATGCCGCCTCAGCGAGGCTCAATGAGCGGTGCCATGTCCGCGCCCAGGATTATGAACCTACGAAACACTGGGCCGCCTGCAGCAGAGCGCACGACCTTAACCACTTGGCCACCGGGCTGGCCCCCATGGTTGTGTATTTTTAGTTGTGAGTCCTTCTAGTTGTGGTATGTGGGATGCCGCCTCAGCCTCGCCTGATGTGTGGTGCCATGCAGGCGTCCAGGATTCGAACCGGGGAAACCCTGGGCTGCCTAAACAGAGTGTGCGAACTTAACCACTCGGCTACGGGGCCGGCCCCCTAAAAAGATTTTTTTTTGACAAATCCAGAATGTACTTTGTATTTATTTTTAATTATTTGCGGAAGGAACATTGCTGCCTGATGAATTTGAGTATTAGAACATTTTCTTCACTGGGACATGCCAGTGAACTATCACTGCAGACCCAATGTTGATCTTCTGTTACTTTGCCTGCAGATTGCTGTAATCAGCGTTTATGTCTTTATATGTCTCCGTAGTTTATATGGAGTTTATGAAGAGATTCAGGGTAGGCAAATAGCCTTTTTCAAAACACTGTTGGCTTTTTGGAATTTAAATGTTTTGCTTCGTGCATCTCTGATCCACTCTAACCATCAGAGGAGTTACTTTAATGCCTATGAAATAGAGTGTTCAGATAAACGATCAGTTCTCAGTTATATACCTGGGAATGTGCAAACTTCAATTCTTAATCATTGCAAAATAGTTATTTCTTAATATCTTGATTTGTCACAACTGGTGCTTTAGAAATAGGTATTGTTAAGTGGGCCATTGAACCTTTGACTCTATTCAATATTCCTTTCTGAGAGCTTAGTTTGTATTTCCATCATGCATAATAGACGTGTTTTTAAATTATAACAGCTTTATTAGCATGTAATTCACATACCATAAAATTCACCCATTAAGTGTACAGTTCAATGATTTTTAGTATATTCACAGACTTGTGTACCATTACCACAATCAGTTTTAGAACATTTTAATCATCTCCCCCAAAGAAATCCCAAACCTATTAGTGCTCCCTATCTCCTCCCAAATCCTTCTTCCTTAGGCAACCACCAACTTACTTTCTGCCTCTAAGGATTTACTTATTTTGGCATTTTATATAAACTGAATCATACAACACGTGGTCTTTTGTGACTGGCTTTTTCATTTAGCATAATGTTCTCAGGATTCATCCGTCTTGTAGCATGTATCAGTATTTAGTTCCTGTTTATTGCCAAATACTCCGTTGTATGGCTATACCACATTTTATCCATTCCAGTTGATGAGCATTTGAGCTGTTTCTACTTTTGGCTATCACAAATAGTGCCGCTGTGAACATGCATGTACAAGTTTTTGCATGGACCTGTGTTTTTGTTTCTTTTGGGTATCTACCTAGAGTTGAATTGTTGGGTCATACAGTAACTCTGTGGTTGAGCTTTTGAAGAACTACTAAACTGTTTTCCACAGCACCCACACTTCTCTTACATTTCCACCTGTAGTGTATGGGGGTCCAATTTCTCCACCTCCTCGTCAGTACTGGTTATCGTCTGTCCTTTTGTTTGTAGCTGTCCTATTGTGTGTGAAGTGGTATCTCATTGTGGTTTTGGTTTGCCTCTTCCTGATGGCTAATGACATTCATGAGCTGGTGGACTGGTTATATATCTTTTTTTTTTTTTTTAAAGATTTTATTTTTTTTCCTTTTTCTCCCCAAAGCCCCCCCGTACATGGTTGTGTATTCTTCGTTGTGGGTCCTTCTAGTTGTGGCATGTGGGACGCTGCCTCAGCGTGGTCTGATGAGCAGTGCCATGTCCGCGCCCAGGATTCGAACCAACGAAACACTGGGCCGCCTGCAGCGGAGCGCACGAACTTAACCACTCGGCCACGGGGCCAGCCCCTGGTTATATATCTTTTTGAGGCGATATCTAGCAAGCTTCTTTGCCCATTTTTAATTGGGTTATTTGTCTTTTTGTTATTGAATAGTAATAGTTCTATGTGTATTATAGGTAAAAGTTTCTTATTGGATATATGCTTGGCAAAAATCCTTTCCCATTCAGTAGGTTGTCTTTTCCACTTTCTTCAAGGTGTCCTTTGAAGCACAAAGGTTTTTAATTTTGATGGTGTTCAGCATATGCATGATGGAGTTGTCTTGGGGCTGCTGTAACAAAATCCCATAGATCAAACATGTGTGGCTTACAAACAGCGTAAATTTATTTCTTACAGTTCTGGAGGCTGGAAGTCCAAGGTCAGGGTGCCAGCAGGGTCAGGTTCTGGGGAAGGCCCTCTTTCAGGTTGCAGACTGCCAACTTCTCGCTGTGCCCTCACATGGCAGGAGGGGTGAGGGAGCTCTCTGGGGCCTTCTTTATGACAACACTAATCCTATTCACGAGGGCTCCCAATACCACCACATTGGGGATTAGGATTTCAAAATATGGGTTATGGGGACTCACAAACATTCAGACCATAGCAAAAGTCTTACTAGTTAGAAATCAGTGAGGTCTTAAATCACATCCTCATCAATATTTTTGTTATATAAATTAAAAGCCAAACATAAAAGAGAAAGTTAGGGAAATATTTGAATTAGTTCCTTTTAAGATGTGCTATAGATCCAAAATGGGCTCATTGGGGAACATATTATTCCCCTGTTCAGATCGTTTGATGATTCCCCACCTCACTGCCCACAGAAGAAGGTTCAGACTTCTTAATACAGATCAAGACAGTCTCTGATTTTGGCCTACCTTACCTCTTACTACTCTCCTTTCTGTGTCTTCATTTCCAGTGTGTTTCGCTGAAAACCTCCCAGTCCTCAAAGCCTTCAGATCTCCCTGTGATGCTGCTGTTCCTCCAACCTCTTTCTATTTGCTGAATCCCACTTGTCGTTTGGGATCTAGGTCATGAGGCATTTCCTGCATGAACCTTCCTTTCCACACAGGCAGACATTGTCCCTGCTCTCACACAGCATACATCCATCGCTACTGTCTCCTACAAGGAACTGGACCTGGACCTGACCTCACAGTCCGATAGGCAGAAGGCAGACACCTACAAGGCAGAATATCAGAGAGAGAAACTCACATAGTAGGCAGACCATGCCGACAGTTCCCTCCCTAGTTCTTAGTGGACATTTGTTTAATGAATAATTATTTAATAAATTAACTAGAAAGATGCTGAGGTCAGTGTGTTTCTCTGATTACCGTTCACATCTTGGTTGCCTATGTTAAAATTACATGAAGTACGGGAGTAATCCCCCTCTGCCTTTCTGGCATCCAAGGCCAGGTCTTGCCAAAAAATTACTCAAGTGTGAAACTGAGTGTTTTTCCTAAAGGAGAACATCCTTGTCCAGGTTCTTTTCTGCTGATGAACAATAACAACTGACACACACACTTGTCAGTAGGGCATATGGCCAGAAAACACACAACTAGCACATTTTACCCACACAAAATGCACCCAGGGTACTCTAAAAGTAATGTGTCTGTCAGTACTGAAACTACCCGTGCGCTCCTGATAACGAGTGTGGCTTGGATTTTAGCAGCATGTGCTTTCTCACTTTTCATTCTTGGTTCATGCTCTCTTGTTTCTCTCAGAGAATCTGAGTATTCTTTAGTTATATTTTGTGTTCATGTGTTCATTTTTAATAATTTAATTAAAATATTTCATTTAGCATCTTCCTGAGAGTTAGGAGAAACCAGTCCGCCATTTGGGGGTACGTTTTCTTCTTTTGTATTCATTGAAGTGTTGGATTGTGGCAAGTTAGTACAGAAGGGAAGAAGGGAAATAAACTTCGTATTTCTTGTCATATTAGGCTGAACAAGTTTTTGATAACGCACCTTATATCGTTTCCTGCTCTAAGGTAGTTTCATATTTATAGAAGCCGGGGCCGTGGGCAGCTCAGGTCTTAGAGCTGGACTGAGCTATGTTTCATTCCACTTCTCCACTTCTTACTAGCTGTGGCTGTGGTAAGTTCCCTCTCATCCCTGAGCCTCAGTTTCCTCTTCTGTAGTATGGTGATACTAAGGGCTGCCTTGTGGGGTTATGTCAAGATAGAATGAGGGAAAGTATGCACAGTGCCTAATACAGAGTAGACACTGAAAAAATGTGTTCCTCCCTGTTCGTTCTTAAATGTCTGTTAATGAAGGGAACTGTATGGAATCAAGTGGACTAAGTTAAATATATTTTATTTCTGATGCTAAGCTATTAAGGTATGAAGTTCCATTCCAACCTCAGCATTTTAGACTTTGAATCAAAGTTGAATCACTGAAGGGGAAAAAAAGGTCTCTCTAATTCTAAGATAGTGTTAAAAATTAGGCCGATTTTTCATTTATCCAGATTTAAAAAGTAGGTTCAGACAAGCTTTCCTTACTCTTCTGTCTGTCTGTATTCTGTCTGTCTGTCTATTTTACAGAAAAGGGTTACATTCCTGACAAAGGATCTCTTCAAGGTTTGGAAGGAAACTACACTGCAGTGCCCAAGATACTCATCTGGAGATGCTGTGAATGGAAGCATCGTGATAACGTGTAATGTTCTGTGTGGGAAAAACCTCAGTAGTTTATGGGAGGTTAAAGTAAGCCTGTCATTTGAATCTTATGTTAGTACATAAATGATTCTTCTGTTTTCTTCTCATTCAGTAATAAGACATTTAATCAAAATAACTTAAAGATCAGAGTGAGAGAAGAAACTGGAATATAAATTGGAGTAGAAAGCCCTGTTTTTTTTATGACTGTGAAGACAGTTATTTCACAATACATATTTTTTCCCCTTTGGTCATTCAGTCACCTATATTTCTTGTTTAAAAATTATGCTTAATGAATCATATGTAGCACCCAGCATCTCACCACCTTTTTGTGAATATATAATTTTAGGGGCACTTGGGAGACTTATTTCTCAGGGTGGCAGGTCCTTGTTTATGAGGTCCACCACAGAGCTTTACAAATACAGTTGCCCGGGCTGGAGCTCACCGGTGACAAGGAATCACAGTCCCGGTGGGAAGCACCGAGCTGGCCTGCCCATTGCTTTATGGAGCGACTAGAGTCACAGGAACTGGAGAGACTTGCCCGAGATCAGGAACCTACCTGCACCCAGCTATCGCCTTCCGTGTGTAGTGTGAATGCATGTTTATAGTTGATAGTGTGAACTTATAGTGTGGATTTGTTTGCTACAGTGTGAGCCTGACATGGCATTCCCTTCTTTAGTCTTTGCCCCAAAGTAACATTTCTATTCCCTTCCACCAGGTCTGGCCAACTGAGCCTACTCACATCGTTTATCTCTTTGGTTCATCACTACTCTTGGTAGCTAGTACCTATATTCTTTTATATGTATTCAGGCTTTATGTGTATTAAACTATGAAACTTAGTCCAGGTTTTCAGAGAACTTAAAGTTTTTCTAGATGCATTTTTGGGAAACTTGCATAGTCTTGAAAATAGGTCTCGCATGTAATCTTTGGATAAACCTTTTGTAGATTTGATTTCCTAGTTTGGATGAAAACTTCCTTGACAGCATTTCAGAGATCCCCTTTTTACTTCCTCAATCTTATAAAGTGACCTATAAAGTGGTAGTTGTAAGGTTTTATCTCAGACGTTTGAAAGACCAACTATCATTGCAAAAGTGACCTTGGAGTGTGTCTTGCCAGAATAATTGGCACTATTAGGCCATCTATACATGAAAACTCTCAGTTTGGACAAGGACAACACAAGTCCAGGGCTAGAACTGCACAGGTTGTAATGGGCATAACTAAAGCCCGTTAGAATTAGTAGAATTTGGTCATTGCTTCACAATGTGGTCATTCTGTTGCTGAGGAACAAAGAAAGACTGGGACACTGGGCTCCCCGTTTGGTATACGAGCCTCTCTTTCCCCATCGTGGAAGTGCATGTGTGTCCCCATGTTCCAACAACTGCTGAGGCCTTCATCCTGGAGGAGCAAGTGCACGTGGGAGAGAAAGGTCAGCAGAGCGCAGCCTTTGGGTGTGTTGTCCAGTAGGGACTCTTGACAGAATTCACAAGTCCTCTCTCCTTAGGACAAACGTCCAGTCACCATTATTTAACTCCTTCACATGAAAGATTCTTAAATTGCTCCTTATATGGTCAAGCATCCTTTTCTAATTCCTTTCATACTTAGGATCTTCAAGAATGCAGACTGATTTATTAATATATAAAAAAACCCAAATACTTCCTGAGTGTTTGGGCACTGAGTCTGAGAAACACGTGGGAACTTGAGCGCTCATCTCTATTAGGCAGAGAGATTTACTAGGAGCCTAGTTACTTTAAAAGCTGGATGGTGAATCCATTTCGTGGTTAGTGGTATCTTTAGGTTAACATTGTCATGCTTGTCATTCTTGACAAGCGAGAAAGACGCTGGAGCCACAGTTCTTTGGGATGGCATTTAATAAGATGTGTTGTCTATTTTAGAAATAGAGTAACCATTCCATAAACTCTCTTACATGGGCCACTGTTACTTTATGGTGCTATCACAGGTGACAGTAATCCAGCAGTCTTCTTTCCCCCCACGATTGCAAGTTTGATCTTCTTATGCAGGAGAGAGATGTCTTAGGTACACTAGGCTGAGTTACATTATCAAGTGGAACAAAATGATGCATCTCACCTGCAAAGGATGGTTGTGAACCATGTGGTTCTAGGAAATGCAAGTGTCTGAAAGCCCAGACACAGTTTCTATTGTGGAGGGAGTATGTATATTTGATCCCCAACTCAGGACTGGATTGCATTCAAAGTTTGACTCAGTTATTTGGAACTCAGATGGCATTTTTCATATAGATTCAGCATTATTATAAGTGGTGGGTAAGTTTCTAAGTTAGCCTACAGAAATCTGTTTAAATTACAGCATAGTTTGTTAAACTAGTCATGACAATAAATCTAATTCTGGATCTTGGGAGCTTGGAGTCATGTGAAACAGAAGTAAGGAATGAGTCATCCCCACCACCCCACCCCAACCTCCACAAGTGCCTCTCTATGCAGGCTCTGTGGGATTCAGAGACCCCTCCAGACCTGCCCTAGCCCTCCACTTCTACTCCTTCATCTCACTCTCAATTTGAAGCTTCCAATCCCCTGGTTAAGCTGATTTCCTTTAAATATTGGTAGCAAAGCAAATGGTTCAAATTAACTCCCACTAACGTATTAATGGGTAATCAAAGCTATTACTAGATTACCACTGTTATGCTAGACTCCCTCCATTATTGAGTGCTAGGACTACTCCAGGCTTTATTTATATTATCTTATTTGACTCATGTCATTAATATTTTTTAAAAGGAGACTCCTTGTTGATAAACAGATTGTCTCTTTGACATTTTCCCACTCAGTCAGTGTAACAAGGGCAAGGGAGAAGTCCGGTGAAGGCATTTGAGGTCAGGAAGGGCCCATACAAGCAAGCTCAGGAATCAGGAAGAAGCTGCCCTGCTTCTGAAAGTTTCTTCCCATTGCCTCTAAAACCATGAATCTCAGCCCAGGAAATTGGAGGGAGATTAGAGTCATCTGGGAAGTCTTTTTCAAGCTACTCATTATCCCTTTTTATATCTTTTCATTTGGGAACCACAGCTTGAAGGTTCTTAGGTTTTGCAAAGTGGCTTGGTTTCTATGACTTTTGGGAAATGGATCAGGGCAGTGCAATGATTGCAAATTGGGGCAGCTTGCACCGACCAGAGCCAGACACTGGTCTTCTCCCTGTATTTCTGGTCCTTAATAAACTCTTACCCAAAAGCCTTACCTTTCCTCAAGCAACAGGAAGCAACTGACCTCTCTTTTTTGGTTGTTGCTTCTTTTCTTCAGAAAATTAACTTTTTATAATCCCTCCTAATCCTGTCACTAATCAGATCTGACAAGTGCGTTAGGGTCTGTCTGTCCAGAATCTTTCATTATATTGCAACCACTGCTCTTGCAAGACAAATGCATGCCTCAGTGTCCGTATCTGTACAATGAAGGATTCAGACTACATGGTTTCTAAGAACTCTTCTCACTCGAATACTTTATGATGTGAATGAAGTGTAATAGGGATTAGGGACTTGATTTTCCAGGGCAGTTTTTTAAAAATCTTCTTTACAAGGCCTGTTAGGCAAATTTAATGTTTTGACTTACTTTAAAATGTGTAAAAGTTTAAAAAAAGACATTAAAAGCTCCTATATAGGCCTAAAATGTCTGATTCTTTGATGCTAAATTATACAGTGTGGACCGTGAGTTCTGCAGTTCAAAGGACAGGGCATCGGAGAATCAGTGTCTGTGGGACACTGAGGGTCAAGCTGTCCCCATGCATATACTTCCAGGGGACGTGCTCAGAACAGGTGTAATTGGGGAAGAATAGTGTAAGACGGATAGGTAGGATGGAACCACCTTGTGCAAAGTCACAATAATAGGAAATACATTTGTACAATGTATTTGAGTAGATGTGGATATAGCTTGAGTGCTAAGTTATAAAGGGAGATGAAATCTAATTACATTTTGGGTTAAATGAGTGGAAATTTTTTTGTTAGTCTATTATTTTATTTTTCCCATGTGTGCTAACATATTATGACAACTGTAGTCTTTTTTTTAATTATGGTAAAATGCACATAACATAAAATTTACCACCAGTCATTTTTAATCGTAAATTTCAGTGTTATTAAGGACATTCACATTGTTGTGTAACCATTACCACCATCCATTTCTAGAACTCTTTTCATCTCACAAAACTGAATCTCTGTACCCATTAAACAGTAACTCCTGTTCACCCTGCCCCACCCCTGGGGACACCATTCTACTTTCTGTCTCTATGAATTTGACTCTCTAAAACAAGCAGAAACTTAAAAATAAATCAAGTGTGGAATTATTTTCCAGCTTACTGGAAACTCCTGTCAGACGCATGAACTGGTACCACTGTGTTCCATGTTTCCTGAAAGCAGAGAATATCTTATATTTTTGCGCCTCCAGTTTCTAGAATGTTGCCTGGAACACAGTAGATGCCAATAAATATCAGTTGGATAACTGAATTTCAGTTTTACCTGAGAAATTTGTGATAGAGAGTGTCTTCCTGTTTTCTTAGACGACAAAAGAACAAATAAAAAGGAAGTTTCCTGTTTGGTGTAGAAGGGCGGCTAATGTAAATTTTTGCTTACTAAATTATCCTGCGATAAGCAAACCTCATAATTTTCATTCTAAATAAATATAGCAAAGTACACGTGTTCATTAAAGCTCATTTTATTTGTAAAGAAAATTTTGGAGTTCTGGTTATTTAAAGCATGAATTCTGATGAAAAATAGGGTGATAAATGACATTACATTTTATACATTTATTGCAAATCCACTTAATGGACTTCCTGAATAGATTGAAAACATTTGTAGTATGAAGTCCTCTGGCCTTGTTTTGTAGCCCCGCTTAGCAACTTTGACTTTACTAACTCATGACGAAGTAACTTCCATAATGGGAGCATGCTTTCATCTTGAGAGTCTTTGTCAAAATAAATATGGTAAGAACCATAATTTGTATCAGGGTGAGGATTTAGAGTTAAAGTAGCCAGTTGAAAAAGCTGAGTTTCCCTTCAGAATGTGAGTTTCTTATCATTTGATAACGTTGAATAGAAAGTGT